GCGCAGCTAGGGTAATTTCACCCGTCAAGGTTAGCAGAATAGGTGTGCAAAGTTTGATTTAACAAATGATGATAGGCCCAAGAAATGGTTTTGACTCTATGCATATTGTTGGGCTGGGCTTGAGGGTACTAAAACTGCATGTAATACTTTGTGGGCTTTTTCAAGTATATTATGGAACTATGGTTAGGCATATTGCGGCCCAGCTAATGGCAAGGTCAATAATAATTAAAACAGTAATGTTGGATAATGACTTTCCTTATTCTCCTGCATTAATGTTTTCAAATTTGATTCATAGAGTAGTACTTTGTAAATTGAATGTAAATTGAATGCATTAATACCAAATTATTTTAGAATAAAAAAAATAATAAATAAGACATATTTTTAAAAAATGTTTAAATATGACCCTTGGGACGATACGACTCAAAAGCGGGGTGCAATAATAAAATTTTTTTAGTAATTTTAGGCGGATAATAGTAATATTTTATAAGTAAAATAATTAAAAAAAAATTGTTGATGACACTCCTGATGAGTTTAAATTGTCTGCCTAAAAAGAAAAAAATATATATGAAGAATTCCTTGATATGAATATAAATTATCTTTAAAAATAATAATAATAATATATAATGACTTTATCCGTATTCAGGGTACATATAGATCTGTTGCTGCTCAAAAGTAAACAAGGAAATAAGTTGAAAACAATGGAACACCTAATGACATTTCTTTTATGTTGCTTCTCAATCATATTAAGATTAAATCTCAATGAGATACCTAACATCTTGGAGATCGGAAGTTCAAATCGTCTAAGGTTACCTTCAAAAAGAAAAAAAGAAAAAAAAAAAAAAATCAATAATTAGTTAAACCAGTGTTGTAGTATAGGAGAATTACATGTAGCAATGAAAGATTATGCCATACTTTAAAGGGTCCGACATAATATTTCACTATTGGCCACCATGTTATTTTTACTATTTAATGCAGTAAATTTGTTGCAGGACTCACACCATCCAATAATGGGTGGGATAAATTCCAATAGGTTGATTTAGGTAATAGATTTTAAAGCAGGCAAATATTAAAAGAATATCATTACTGTTCCTTATTTAACTTTCCCATTTTAATTAATTACACAAAGGTTCCTTATTGTTCTTTTAATATTTGCCTGCCTTAAAATCTATGACCTAAATCAACCTATTGGAATTTATCCCACCCATTATTGGATGGTGCGAGTCCCGCAACGAATTTACTGCATTAAATAGTAAAAAGAACATGGTGGCCAATAGTGAAAGATTATGTCGCTAGCATTTATGTTGCCTAATTTAATACCAATCACACATATGAGGTGTTTTGGTTACGCTTTCAATCCCCTTTAATAAATATTCTTAACTTTTTATCTGCACCAAACACGTCCATCTATCATCAATAGGGACCGTGACCACTAACTTTTTTATTTGCTTAATATTTGATATTTTGAATTGCGTTTGCAATTAGATGTAGATCTTATAATACATATTTTTTACAAATAATTGTGTCTTTAACAAGTGACGGAACAGGATTTCAAGTGAGGGGACACACTATAAAAAAAAATAATACGGAGTACATATATATATATATATATATATATATATATATATATATAACAACTATAAAATTAAGAAATAGTTAAAAAGTTTCAATTGGGGAAGAAAAATTTGACTTTTTCTATTAAAAAAATTTAGAGAATGTGAAGAGTAAAAAAGAAAATTAAAAAAAATATAAGAATATAATTTTAGGAACTACATATTTGAGGGGGGCACTATATAAATTTTTTCATTTATGTAAAATTTTTTTTTAAAATTACCACATATATTATAGGTTGTTGGCCAACTCAGGAGACACGTGCCCCCCTAGACCTTAATTGGCTCCGTCCCTGTTTATAATATATATATATATATATATATATATATATATATATAAGTGGAATTCAATCATATTTATCTCAAATATTAACTTACAAGAAGTTCATTACTTAGCTTATAAAGGAAGGTCGTTATCTGACTTTTAGAAAAAGTTTCTTAATTAACTTACAAAAAAAAAACCCATTTTTTAAGCTATATATATACATATATCCTGATAGATGTACTTGACAAGTGAATAAAAGAAAACTTTTCACTTTATTATTTTGTGCCTCATTGTTCCTTGATTTTTGTTTAATTCTCTCTCTTCTTGGTATATCTATAATACATTATGAGCACAACTCTCTAACCACTTGTGATTTGAACAAGAAACTTTATTTCCCTATTTTTATCTCAACTATATATGCGATATTAGTTTTGATAAATTGTTAGGTTTAGTTGTTTTACTGAATAAAATAGTATTTCTTACTTCAAAGGATAAGAAAATCTTATTTATTTATTATTGTTCATGAATTAAGTTGTTCACTTAAGTGATATATGTGCTCACATTATGATCAGTTTTACCGCTTTTATTATTTAATAATTTATTAATTATGATCGATTTTACCGTCTTTATATTTTATTAACTATGGTCAATTTTACCGTCTTTATTATTTAATGATTAATTAATCATGGTCGGTTTTATCGCTTTTATTATTTACGGTCGGTTTTACCGCCTTTATCATTTAATGATTTATGGTTGATTTTACCGCCTTTATTGTTTAATAATTTATTCACTATGGATGGTTTTACTGCCTTTATTATTTAATTATACTGTGATTATAATAGTTTATATTATATTATGTTGTTGTTTCACTTAATGCCATTTTATTATTAAGATATAGTTTATTTATATATTATGCTAAATTGTGTTCTTATATTATTGTCATATCTAGTTATTCTAAAAACGTCAAACTTGACAAAAATGGAATTCGTGACTTTGGATATTTCTGACAAAATTTATTTATCTTGGATTCTGGATGTTTAGATCCATTTAGATGCCATGGGTCTTGGAAATACAATTAAAAAAAAAAAAAAGAATGATACATCATTACAAGATAAAGCAAATGACATGTTTTTTCTTCGTCGCCATATTAACGAAGAGTTAAAAACTGAATACCTCACTAAAAGGGATCCCTAAGTTTATGAAAAACTTTGAAAGAAATATATGATTATCAAAAAACAGTTGCATTAAATAGTTAAAAGAACATGGTGCCCAATGGTGAAAGATTATGTCGCTAGCATTTTTGCTATCTAATTTAATACCAATCACACATATGATGTTAACTTTTTATCAGCACCAAATACATCAATCTAAAAACACTCAACCCTATTACAAATTTATTATATTGTCCCAATTTTAGTTTGGGGTGTTAAAATAGAGCGTGCTGCTTACTTACATTGACAAAATATTTTTAATAATAGAATTATTTCTGCAAAAACACGTGTCAACCATGTGGTGTTACATTTTTTTTGTTATTAAAAAAATGACCCTAAGCATATTAAATAATAGAAGCGGACGTTTACTCATCTACTAATAAAAATGATTGAATTTTAATGTTTGAATTAAAATTTAAAATAATTTATGACTAAAGACATTCAAAGAATATTTTTAAAAAAATTAACATCAAATTATGCATTTCCTTTTTAAACACAGATGAGGCCTTCCATTTTATTTATTTTTAGAAATACAATAAATCTAACTTTAAAAATCTTCTTCCAATTGAGTTTTGAATTAATCGTTTTTTTTTTATGTATATAATTTTTCAAAATAAGAATTAAACTTTGTAATTAGAATTTTATTCAAAATTTAGTGACTATATAAAATATATTAGTTTGCCATTTAAACATATTTGAAAAAAATTACTAGCTATCCTAATTGTTGTCAATTTTATATTTAAATTGTGTAGTAATTAGTCAATTTTTTGAAGTATAAAAATGATTCAATTTTTTTAAAAAATAAAATAAATAATGATATTTTAACGACTTATTTAGTTTTTTGTTTACCAAATCGAGAATTCTACAAAAGATTTTTTTATTTAAATTAAATGAACTAAATTAAAATATTCATGTTTCTTATAATTTTGTAATTTTTAAAATATCGATTTTTGCTTTTTAAATAAAGTAGAATATCATAATGGTAATTTAGTCATTCAATGAGCCCTTAACGATTCATTAATAGAATTGGGGTAATGTGATAACTTTGTAATAGTATTGAAGTTTTTGAAAGATATTTAAGATTTTATAATAAAAAATTAAAAATAACAAAAATTTTATGATTTTAGCCCATTTATTTATTTATAAGTTAAACCAAACACACTTACACTTAATTAAAGAGTAAAGAAAACTTGAACAATCAAATATTACATACGCTTGAATGTAAATAATTCTTTGCCGGTCAAGTCTTTGTAGAGGGACTCTTTACATAATTGTTGTAAATATATATATATATATATATATATATATATATATATATATAGGGTATACGCGTTTTTATTTTGGTATTTTTATTTTTATCGTACTGTGTAGCTGTGAACAATGAAAAAAAGCATTTGATAAAAAAATATTTTATTTTGCACAGTGCCTTTTTGTGAATACTGGTCAAAAGTCAGAACATCAATTTTGTATTTTTACATGTTTCACTACTATAGCAACGAGAATAGCTGAAAGAAAAAATAATAAATAAAACTCTTAAATGATATTTTTAAATTAACCAATATATTTTTAAAACTTGCAATATTTTTAGACCAGCACATGTTTTATTATTTTTGATTCAAAAAATCTTACAACAACAAATAAGTGTTACCAAATAAATTTTTTATTATTGTAAAAAACACAATAGAATAAATTATTTTATTTTAAATAAAACAATGACGTAAAAACAAAATGCATACAATACAACCATGACATTTCCAGTTCCATAGGATAGTTGCTAAAAATACCCGCAGTGAAAGATAACAGTAAATCAGTAAAAAGAAACTAAAGAGAGTACAGTACCATACAGTACACCGTAATAAACGACATTGAAAATTGCGAGCGACCATAAATAAAAGATTCCGCGCGTATTTATACGACCTCCCGCGAGACCTCTTCCCACACTCCTCACTAGTACTATTCAGTACAGAAAGAAGGTGTGACTGTTCTAGAGAGAGAAAGATTCACAGTTATAGAGAGAGAAAGCCAATCCTTCACCATTAATACCTCTCAACAAGAAAGCGTGACTTTCTCACCTTCACTCTTCTACCTCAGAATCTGTGAAGATCGGTATCGCTTCAAATTCACCAAATCAACTCTCTTTGTTAATTCTTAATTCTCTATACACAACTGTAGTGAGAGAAACACAGAGTGATTGTGTGATGGAGCTTAGTAAGGTCACGTTGGAGATATTCTCAAAACTTGAGAAGGAGTGGCTTTACCACTGCGAAGGCAGGCAAACGCGAATTCTCAGCATCGATGGCGGCGGAACAACCGGCATTGTCGCCGGAGCAGCCTTGATCCACCTCGAAGACCAGATCCGAGCTAAAACCGGCGATTCTCAATCTCGCGTCGTCGATTTCTTTGATATTGTAACAGGAACCGGAATCGGCGCTATCTTTGCCGCAATGCTGACCGCCGACGACGGACACGGCCGTCCTCTCTTCACCGCCAAGGAAGCAGTCGGATTTGTCGCCGAAAAGCAGTCGGAGCTGTTCAAAATCAAGCAAGTTGGAGTACTTCGCCGACGAAGGATGTTTTCCGGCAAAAGCATCGATAAGGTGCTGAAGGAGGCGTTGACGAGAGAAGACGGCCAGGTGTTGACGTTGAAGGACACGTGTAAGCCTCTCTTGATCCCTTGCTTCGATCTCAACAGCTCCGCGCCGTTCGTTTTCTCCCGAGCCGACGCGTCCGAGTCGCCTAGTTTCGACTTCGAGCTCTGGAAGGTGTGCCGTGCCACGTCAGCGACTCCGTCCTTGTTCAAGCCGTTTAGCCTGACCTCCGTCGACGGAAAGACCTCTTGCTTGGCCGTAGACGGCGGTCTCGTCATGAACAACCCCACCGCCGCAGCCGTCACTCACGTGTTGCACAACAAACGTGATTTCCCCTCCGTTAACGGAGTCGAGGACCTGTTAGTCCTTTCATTAGGTAACGGCCCGTTAGCGAGTCCGTCTCAGCCGAGTGCCCGTCGTAACGGCGAGTGTTCCACGTCGTCCATCGTTGGGATTGCTCTTGACGGCGTCTCCGAGACCATAGACCAAATGTTAGGCAACGCCTTCTGTTGGAATCGTAGTGATTACGTTAGAATTCAGGTGAATACAACTTAATTGTGATTAATTTTGTTTCATCATTTTTTTTAAAAAAGATTTTAATAAGGGAATCACTGACGGCGTTAATTTGCAGGCTAACGGTTGCGTAACGGGGAGTACGGAGGAGATTCTGAAAGAGAGAGGTGTGGAGTCACTGCCGTTTGGGGGGAAACGGTTACTGACGGAGACGAATGGGCAGAGAGTTGAGAGCTTCGTGAAAAGGCTCGCTGCTTACGGAAAGAGTAGTCTACCAGAAAGTCCGCGCAAGGAAAACGCCGTTAGTCTTCTTGATAATGGCCGTTAGGTTTAGGCTTTAGGTTTGGTTCACCATTTGTTTAGTTACTACTAGTACAACCCAGTTGATGTTAACTGTCTCTGTTTTTTTATTTTTCTTTTTCTTTTTTCATTTTATTTTAGTAAGTATCACAATTTCTATAGTTAATATCCAATAATAGTGATCTGTTCAGTACTAATTTCACTTCTCTTTTTTTCCCTAACAAATTTGAAACTTTGTTGTAGAAACTGAATCGGAACTTCCATCGGCTAACTTATCACCGACTGTATATTTTATCCCGAATCAAAATAAAGGGAAAAGATTCCAACTCCCAGTGAGTCAATATTTACCTAATAAAAAATAAAGGTAAAAACAAAAACAAAACTTTGATATAGGCTAATGTAAAGCTCAAGCTAAAACCAAATTTGCTGCGCACAAGAATTGTGTCTTATTTTGATACCAATTGTACATGGTGAGCACTTGCTTATTTACCTAAAAGTTCAAGCTATTCGGTAGTGTTACATACCTACTTATTTATGTCCAATCACTTTTCTATTCGAATTCGATGTGGAACAAATGACAGCTTATAACAGCTAACTACAAGTGTGAAATCTCGCAAGATTGGCCTAGCTAGTGAGAATTTTGGACCAAGTGGATTATCTTAATAAACAATTTTGTTGACTGGTTACGGTTAAATTATAATCAGGTTGAACTTTGAATTTGTTCTATCTTATGATTTATGAGATGTTAAAAAATAAAATAAAAATGAAAGACAGTATAAAATTATCCAAGTCATCCACCACTACCACATACAAACACCACTTCTTGTAAACTCCACAATGAAAAAAGAAATACTATCAAGGAAAGGCAAAGGGTTTCACAGTTGGAAGATGTTATTTAAGGTGACCACTCACAAACCTTTTACAAATGTTACGACGGTGACGAGATGTAATAATATGGACAAGGAAATGGAATCAAGGTCTTAGGTGAAGTGGAGATATTTCACGTCGTAACAAACAACTTTGTACTCTCGTCTTCTAAACTTTACAAAATCATCCCCGTATTATTTACTCATCATTTCACTTTTCTAGTTGGGGCATCTATACCCATACTGTTGTAAATTATCTTGCACTACTTTTGGGGGATTAAAAAAAAACACTTTTGTATTGGCAAAAACAGAGCCACTGGTTTATAAATATATTTGTCTATTCCATCAAATGGTCCCTAATTTGTTGCATTGTGTCTTCCCATACCCTTCTTTCGGTTTAAGGGATAAGAAAATGGATCAAGGAAGAGTTTTTAGAAAAGGGAAGGTGTCTCCCTCTTGTTTTATTTAGTTGTATGGAAGGAATAGTAAAAAAGATGGTCGGAGTAGGCTGGAAAGAAGGGAAAGGAATTTTTTATTTTTTATTTTTTTTACCAATATACCCTCACTGTATAAAATAAGTAAAGGAAAATGATTCTTGCACCGAATAGTGGTAGTGAATTGCTAGACTTACTATTTTAATTGGTTAATTATGCAACAAATAAGGAAATAGAGCCCTCCACTTACTTGTATTTGGTATAAATATTTAATTAAAAACTATTTAGACAATTCATTATAAATGTTCGGTGTAAATATTACTACTCCTAAATAAAAGGTAGCTATCCATCTGATTTTTTTTTTTAAATGTTAAAATTGGGAATTACAAATGCTTAGGTAAGTTATTCATTTTCTCTCTCCTCCATTCCCCCTAAAATTGGGCAAATAAAAAAAAACATGAAGAAATGAGGAATGTTTCATCGCTGCTTTCTCCTTTCTTCCCTTCCCTCAAACCAAACATAGTAGTTTTTTTTTTTTTTTTTTTCTTTTTTTCTTTTTTCAAATTACATTGACCTTATCTTTAAATTTGGACAAATTACACTTACTTCGATCTCGCCTGAGATTTTGGGTGTTTGCTTGGGGACACACACATCATTTTATTTCCAACAAATGCGTTGACCAAATTTTATAAAATGACAATTTTACCCTTCTCTTTACTGTATCATTTTAATATAAAGTCAGTATTGAATTTTCTGTCAATGAATGAATTTAGGTGAGGTCAAAATACTAATTATTCTACCATGAGTAATTTGTTCAAACCTTAGAAAAGTTAGTGTGATTTATTTATTTATTTTTTATTTTTTATTATTTTTTATTTTGTTTTGACCTTTGTTACAGAGTTTGATGAAGTTATAGTTGGATACTTTATGTATGAGTTAGGTAGAATTCTCCCTTAGCATTAAATAAATCCGATGATACAAGACATTACATAAGACAAATTTATGGCTTACAAAATTATTTTCCTCAATTGCCAACTAGGGTTTGGTCCTATCTAAGCCACCTGGTTGATGCTGACGCAACCACTAGCTTTCATGAATAAAAAAGATAAAATAAAAAATAGCATCCTATGTTTTTCTATGATTAATTGGCTCCAAAAGCAATTAAGAGATGGGGACCTCAAAAGCACGTCTAGAAATTGATTTTTTTTTTTTTTCTTGCTCCATCATGGAAGTGAGTTCTGGAAGTTCTCTTTTATTAACCTATTTTAACGATTTCTTAAACCTCTTTGAACGATGCCTTTGAATTCCTAATTGTTTGCAATTTTATCGACACTTATTGAATTTATGATTGTCTGTTAATTTTTTATTTCATTATTTTGAAAAATTTAAGTATATAAAGGTTATAGTTTCTTCACGCTATACATAACATCTTTATGATCTTAAGCAACACCAAGCAAAATTCAACTACAAATTGTGTATGCTTTGGGTAATAGGTTTGAGCAATAAACTGAACATTTAGATATAATTAACTTTGACAAAGTAATTTTGATTTTGGGGACCGGTCTAGTAGTATGTAATTAAAGTTCGAAAATTTATAAATTAATTGTAACAAAAATTTCATTATAATATTATTAATAGTATTATATATTTAAGAAAATACAATTCAGAAAATGAGAAAAAGCAACCTAAATAAGTAGTGATAAAAACTTATACTGCGTATGAAAATAGAGAAATGGGAGGATAAGTTACAGGTATTAAAATAAATAAATAAATTGCTAGCTCCACCCCTAAAAATGATCAGTGTTTTTACCGGTGTTTTTATATTGAGTGCTTATATATATATATATTACACACATATATTCATAAATGTATACTTTTAAAAAAAAAAAATTACTCCACAATAAACACAACAACCTACTTAGACTTCTTATTAGGGATGGCGCGCATGGCAATTTCTACCGCCTCGCTAGGGTCCTATCTCTAATAACACGGATATGGAAAATGTTTATGCACGTACTATAGGGGGTATGAATTTAGATTTTAAATTTGTCGCAGGTTACGGGATGAGAATGGCCTTTATACTTATATTTTTTTTGAAAAAAAATTATATGTGTGTGTGTGTGTGTTATACCAAATTGATGTTTTGAAATTGAGATTGAAGGAAAGGAAATTTATTTCAACATTTTAAGTTTTAACTGAATTTCTTTTAATTTTAAATCTAAACAGCCTATTAAATGCTTCCATTAACGTAAAATTTTTAATTTTTGAAGAACATCATTGATGACTCATTCAAGTATATAGGACTAGGCAAATGTCTCGCAGTCCGGTTGGATAAGTACCTCTTATGAGATTTGGAGTGCCCAGACTCGAGTCTCTGCACCTACTAACATAATTCAATATATATATATATATATATATATATATATATATATATTACAAAGTGTCAATCATATTCACAACATTAGAAGCAACCCAGCTAATTAGTTTCTTGTTGCCATTGAAGAAAGAGGCTTGCACACTTTTAAAACCTACCTAATGGGTAAAAGCAATGAATGAGTCAAATAACAATTACTAAACTTATTGAAGAAGACACATCCCTGATCATGACAACCCTGGAAATAAAGCCTAAAAACCTTTCTTGAAGTTTAAATTAGCATTTCTTGTAATCATATTGTTGTGATTACCTAAAAAGTGACCACTATATAGTTATTTATACCTTGTCACGCATGCTTTGTGTGTCACTGTGCATATAGTAAGAATTTTGGAGTTTCTTTTTTTTTCGGAAATTAAGAATTTTGGAGTTTCATTAATAGAGTAATGAATAATGATTCTTGCACCAAAGAAATGATACTTGCACCAAAGAAATATTAATTATATAATTTATCTGAATTTTATTATTAGTATTGATTTATTATAAAAATAGAAAAAAATAAATATAGTTGTAACTACCATTTTCTAAAATGATCAACTTATTATTAAAACTTTACTATTTATAGTAAAACTTATCATACTTGGTTTAATCTTTTTTACAATAAAAAAATATCTTCTTTTTCATACAATATATTTATGAAAAATTAATAAATTACTTAATTAAAAAATAACTTTTTTTCATGCAATATATTCATGAAAAATTAAGAAATTACTTCAATTTTTTAAAAAATTTCTACTTAATATTTGTATTTAAATAATTAATTTCAAGAATTAAGGGTAAATTTATGAAAATTTAATTTAGAATATGTCATTAATTTAGTGTAAAAAAATCATAATTTATTTTAATAAAAAATGGATTAAGTATAATTTAATAAGAAATTGCATAATGGTCATTTAATGACAAATAGCTCTGGAAATATTTTTGGGTCAAGTGCAGAAAACACCCTTAAAGTATGTTTACAGTGCATATCACACCCCTCACGTGCAAAAAACAATCCTAAAGTTTCGATTTGGTGCAAATAGGTCGATCTGAAAAATTTAAGCCTTAAGTTAACTAAATTACGTTTACTGAACCATTTTATAAAATATATAATTTTATAAACCACCAAAAAGAACACTATTGGAGAATGTCCGTCACGTACAAAAAACACTCTTAAAGTTTCAAATTTGTGCAAATAAGTCTCTTTGACAAATTTAAACCCTAAGTTGACCAAATTACCCTTACTAAATCACTTTGTAAAATATATAATGTTGTAAAAAGACCGAAAAAGACACTATTGGAGGACACCAACAATGGACAAGTAACGATAAAAATAAAAAATAAAAGTATAAAAGAAAAGTAAAGATAAAAAATGAAAATAAAAAATAAAATAAAGTGTAAAGTAAAGAACACAAATTTGCTCCAAACAATATTGAGAATTTTTTCCTTCTTTTTTTTTTTTTTTTTTTTGCTCTAACAATGTTGGT